TACCGTCTCTGCCTCATGTCTGCTACTCCACTTTACTGCTATAATTTGTTCACCTTACTCCCTCATTCCACTGTCTGCCCCATTCATTGAGGCCTCTCTGCCACTGTTGCTGGAATCCTGGTATCTCTTCCTCTCTTTCTCTGGAATGTCCTTCAGCACTCTCTGTAGAGTTGGGTTGGTGGCCACAAACTCCCACAGTTCCTCCTTGTCTTGGAAGCATCTTATTTCTCCATTAATTTTGAGAGAGAGTTTTGATGGGTATATGAGTCTTGGTTGCAAATTATTTTCTTTCAGGACTTGGAATATTTCTCCCCATTCCCTTCTCGATTTGAGAGTTTGTGTTGATAAGTCTGTTATTATTTTGATAATTTTCCTGTTGTAGGTAATTTGCTTCTTTTTCCTGGCTGCTTTTAATATTCTGTTCTTTTGGTGGATTTCTGGAATCTTGATTATTATATGTCTGGGTGTAGATCTGTTTTGGTTGTAGATAGCTGGTGTTCTGTATGCCTTTTTTTTTATCTGGATATCATTTCTTTTCCCTATACATGGGAAATTTTTCCTTTAATGTATCTGTGAATATTCTTTGTATTTCATTTTTGGTTGCTCCTGCTTCCTCACTCACTTGCTTTATTCTTAAGTTATGTATCCTTTTGTCATCTTCTAGCCTTTGAATTGTTTCTTTCTGGTTCCTTGTTATTTTTAAGAAGTCTTTTCTTTCACGATCATATATCATAAATCTCTCAAGTTTCAAAAGGCTAACTTTAGTTTCTGTCTAGGCGTTTTGCCAGTGGAGTTTGTAGTTTCCTGGTAATCGCTTTGGATCTGTTTCATGTATTCTAAGTTATGTTTAAATTCTTCTTCAGAAGTTTCTCTTTCTTTTCTGATTTCTTCCATTCTTCCTCTGAGTTCTCCTGGGCGGGGCTTATCATTTCTTTAATTAATCTCTTTATATCTTGCCTCACTTGGATCAGAAGTAAAGTTTTAAATTCGTCTGAGATCAACTAGGAAATATTTTAAACTCTGTTTTCTCTTGAATTGGAATTCAGGGCCAGTCTTAAGAATCCTTAACAGAGTAACAAGTAATTGTTTCTTGTTCCAGTGGACAGAAACTGACCTTACAGAATAAACACATGGCATGGGGAACAGAGCCCTGGACATTTTTCCGGACTTGAACACTTGTCAGCTCTGTGAGCTGAAATGGACATTAATCGTGGGGACCTCATTGCTGTTTGCTGTAGAATGAGGACAGTTGTTCTAGATTGGTCCCCTCATGCTACCTGTGGTCAAGCTTTCTTTTTCCCTTCAGTCTTCGCTGACGTTACTGGATGCCCACAGAGTCACGGCACTGTGGGAGCAGCAGGCCTGGGCTCCCACGCTCAGGGTTCAGGTCCCAAGGACAAGGTGGACCCCTCTGGGCCTGCAGTGGTCTCCACACACTTGGGCTCGCCCTGCTGTGCAGAAGCTGTTGGATTCAACCCCTTGAAACAGTTCTCATGTTACTCTTCTAGTCCCAAAAGAGGAACATGTGACGCTCATGGGCATATACTCGTGTTGGCAGGACATTTAAAGGGGAAGAAAGCTTCTTTTCTTCATTCATTTAATTTGCTCCATTATTTTACTTGCATTAATTTTGCTCCTCTGTTCTGTACCTCCTCTTTTTTTTCCCTAAGAAGAGTTGATATTTTTTCAAAGTAAGTATGGTATGTTAGTTTGAAACAATAGATGTTCTTTTAAAAATTCAGGCACATTTTGTAAATGACTTTTAAATCAAATAAAAATGAATGAAGAAGTGAAATAGAACTTTTTTAACAAAAAGTTTTATGCAAACACTGTCTAACTCTCTGACTTCCCACTCTGCTTAGTAACAGGGACTGCTGTCCATGTCAGTAAGGATAGATTACCATCATCCTTCGGTTCCATGTTCCCTTTCATGGCTCGCTCTTTCCATTTTAACACTGTCATGCTGAGAATAATTTTTGTTTGGCATTGTTTCAATCCATTCTTTTTGTCTATTCATGACAACAAATGAGTACAAATTTCTATAAACTTTGTTACATGTCAAAACTCTAAAGAATTAAAAAATGGGATATTTGTTATATCAAAAACCTGATCTACCACATGGTACAACCTCACCATCACTGTGTTCAGTATTCGGAATGTACCTGGCCGTGTGCTAGACCTGGGATGGGCGGTGCACCATGTGTGTCTTAGGTACTTTTCTATGGCTGAGCCAAAATATTTGACACCCGTAAGCTGAAAGAGAGACAGTTTATTTCTGCTCAGTAGAAGTTTCAGTTGATAGTTGTCTAGCTCTCTAAGGCAGGGTAGCTTGGCAAGGGGGCAGTGCAGAGGAGAAAGATTCGGGAGCATAGCAGGGCAGCCAGAAGGCAGGGAGCCTTCCTTTGTACCTTGGGTTCCAGCTAGACTGCCCACCATCAGGCACTCCTACCGGGGTGGGCATCTTTACTTCCAGCACTGCACCCTTAATCCCAGCATCACACCTTTAATGCCAGCCTTAATCACACACCCTATATCCAGCCACCTCCCTAACCCCCCCCCCCTCCATGTATGACTGCACGGGCTTAGGGAGACATTTAGGTAAAAGCCATAACAAGGTGGGTCATTGTAAAGCAGGACCTCGATCCTTCAGGAGTGTGACCTAGTGGTAGAAGAGCCACAGGAAGCCATCCCCCCCCCCCCCGACCCCTGGGAGCTTCAGGGGTCTCCACCATGGTGCGTGAGCTCAGCTGCAGGCCTTCCATTGCATTGTCCCTTTGTAAGTCAGTTTTATTTTGTACTTATTTTCATAGTTTTATGTCCCCTTTCTATGTAAGGTTCCCAATTCTGTAAACCTCTAGCCCCACCAATTCTGGGTTATCTTTTCACTTTTCTCCCAGGCAAGGTCTACAGTAAGTTATCCACACTAGATCCTTATTTTCTCACTTCTCGGGTGCCCTCCAGATCACCCTAACCTTCACCCCTTTCGTTCAGCAGTGGGCATCATTCAGAGTAATTGCCTACACATTAATAAAAGTAATAGCTCCTCCGATTTTCACTCTGCCTGACCTAGTACATTGTGCTTGTGGCCTCTGTAACACCCCTTCCTGGTTTCCTTCCACCAGGGCCGCTTCAGCTCTGCCCACCTAATGAGACAAAATGGGCTGCCAGGCCAGCCCGCAATCCTGGGGGCCCCTGGCACCTCGCTCAGCACCTGCATGGCTCTTCTGTCTTGGGGAAACACTACCCATCAGACCTCTGCCCTGTAAATGCCATGAACCGTTCGTTAACTGAGGCTAGATAGATCCTATTTCTTTTGAAAACTTTATCAAACCTTTGTTTGGTTTTACTTTTGAGGTTGCCATCTCTGAGTTCTGCCCAAGATCATCACGGTAGCTGTTATAGCAGGTGGAACATGAGGCTTGTTCTGGTGAGATTAATTGGTCTCTGAGTGCAGACAGGTACTGGTTGGAGGAGAGGGACAACCATGCTATACTCACAGCCAGGTGGCGAGGCAGACAGAGGAGCCTGCGGAGCAGGCCTGACTACAGGTGCTTACGGAGGACCTGGAGGGAGCAAGGGAGTGGCTGCCGGCAGAGAGGCCTGCTGGACACGGAGGACTGCGGCGTTTCTAGGGGCTGCTGCTGTCAGCTGTCAGAAGTAGGGAGGACAGACTGGGGAGCACAGGCCTGCACGCGGGGCCTGCCTGAGGCCCTGGGGAGGTGTTGACGGGCGGAAGCCCTGGGATCAGTGTGCTCTGGGCATTTTTCCAGTGCCCTAAGGGTGGGTTAGGAAAGAGGTACGTTGCTGAAGCCACCCAGGTTTAAGTGTCTCTGGACTGGAGAAGTTGAATGGGAAATAGGAGGGGTGGGGCAAAGGCCTTGGGCCTCTGGTGGGCCTGGGCCATGGCAGATGATAGGTATTTAAATTCTTTGTTACTTAAGAGTTTCTTTTATCGATGAAAGCAAGGAAAAATCATATTTCAAGGGAAGTAATTTTTTCTTTCCAATAGAAAAACTTGGCCATGTTTACGTCATGTTTTAGGAGAATACAATATTTCATTTTATAGAAATGAGCCTTGAAGTATTGAAAGGAATTTTTTCTTCCTGGAAGACCAGTGTCAATAACCTCAACCATGACCTGATAATTTATAAATGTTTGGGGAGTATTCAAGCTTGTAGGAGTAAATAATTTGTCCTTTCAACTAAATATTAAACTATATTATTGATGATCTAGATAAAACCTCTACATTAAGAAGTTTCAACTCAGTTACAAATGTTTATCCAAAGCTGTCAGTCTGTATTCACTAACCACCCTGTGTCACCGTAAATCAGCCATTATACATAAGAAAATTTGACAGTGTGCCTTGCAGGCAGATTTAGTGTTAACATAAAAATTCTGCACTTGCAAATAACACAGAAGAACCAGACGATGTAGAAAGAAACCTAAGAATATCACAGTTTGGAGATATTTCTTATGCTTGGAAGATGGGTCTGGATCTCAGACCCAGATGGGTAGGTTGGACAGATTGTAAATATTTTGTGAGATTTTTGTAGCACCTTTATTTTAGAAGTTCAATTTCAAAAGCCACCTTACTTTTTTTTATTTTGAGGATTTTATTTTATTTTGAGGATATCTCTATCCTCAAAGAGATTGGATCCAACTATTATAGATTAGTAGAAGTAGGACAGAACTTTTTGTAGCTTTCTTTCCTCCTCTTATTGACCTCTTTCTTAGACTATTATGTTTTAGGCCTGTGGCTTCACTTCAGGAAAACACTGATTTTTGAGTTGTGTAAACATTTTGAGTGGAAATGTCTTTGTCTTAGATGGCAGCTTTGAACCTTTTCCTTCTGTCTTTTTTCCTCAAGAATCAACTATCAGGTGATGATGAATTAGTTCTAAGAATGACTCTGTAATGTTACTTTAGTGTTCAGCCCTTAACTAGAGTCCGCTCTGAAGTAGTACTGATTATTCTTGTAAATCTGTTTCTTATTGTTCTAGCGCATAAAGTCGGGCAGAGATAGCAGTGGGAGCTCTCGTGGCAAAAGAGAAGGGAGCGCTGGCAGTGGTGAGTGTCCTTGGGCTGAGGGGCTGGCCTTGGCAGATGTCTGGAAGCATCGGAAGTGACCTCAGTGTCCTTCGTACGTTTGGGGTACACACAGTAAAACCTCACTTATTCTCATTTGGTAATCAGTTGTTCTGATATGTACATGAATGTAAGTATGTCATATTTCATTTCTTAAAATAACATATCTGTTGCTACTAATTGATTAATCGAGTAGGACAGATTATCAGAGATGAACACCACAATGAGTTTTACTCTGTTACATTTGTAAGTTTTCTGTTTGAAGGAATACCATGAGAAGCAGGGTGATCTCATACAATGTTTCAGTCTGACTTAATACAGACCCAGTGACAATCTAGGAACCAGAAAATACAGTTCATGGCTCATTCCCAAGCACAGCACCATACACATCTGGACCCGCCGTGCACAAGGCAGGGCTTCAGGTGATTCTAAAGGCCTCTGCTGACTCTGTGTAGCCTCATTCTCCTTAAGATGTTTACTAAGTTTTCACCCCTTTTCCCATCAACCAAAATGAGTTTATAAGTTAAATTGAGTAAAACTTTGGTGGTTTTTAAAGAGAGTAATTGAAAAAAGAATGCTACATTGGGATCCATAAATACACCTGGGTTCCGGCCTGCCTATACCCGGCAGTTTCCGCACTCCTGACCTAGCTTAGTGCGCCTGCACAGCTGCATTCTGTGAGGGACCCAAAACCAAGAAAAAGGAAAACACACCTCTGATTTCAGGCTGCACCGCACTTGTTCACAGCATCTCCTACATACATATAGCCCGCCAGACACCATGCCGAGTAAGGGGACTGGGGATGAGGAAGATATGGTCCCTACATTCCAGATTAGAATCTAGTTGGAAAGATAAACACATACGGTTCTGATTCTGCTCCCAGCGCTGGCGTGGCCTAGATGCGCATGTGTGCTTTCTGATCTCCTAGGGCTGGGAGCAGCTCTGTTTGCACAGCACAGCTCAGTGGCATCTAGTTCTCACCAGGTAGATGGATACCCTGTGCGCCAGCCCAGCTTTGCCTCCTCACCCTGGGCCACAGCAGCCAAGACCCCGAGCTTGAGAAATTAAGAGAAGCAATTGGACTGAGTCCCGGGCGTACCCAAGACAGCCTTTCCTATCTGCCTCCTTGGTCTCCCACTCCTAACATGCTGCTGTTTCTTTGTTGCCCCCAGACCCAGACCCCTTCTGCTTTAACTCCCCCGCCTCGCCCCCCTTCCTGCTTTAATGGACTCATTGGACCATCTGGGCTTGGATCGAGCAGAGTCGTGGGGCTGAGACCTGTGGCTGGCACCTGTGTCGGGGGCAGAGGCCTTCTGCCCTGGCCTCCTTACTGCTACTCCTTCAGCTTTAGTCAGTTTTCCCTTCTCCTGTCCAGCCCATTTCAGGCCAGTGCCAATAGCCAGCCCTGGTGCACAAGTGAGCTTTGTCCTCATGTGTGGGGATTTCCCAGCAGACTTCTGTGCTGCTGAGGCCTTTTCCAGCAGAGTTTCCTATTGCTTGGTTCCTTGGCACTGAACAAGTCCTTCCCAGGCTGCTTGCTCACTGACGTCTCCTCCTGCTGTTGGGTGTGGAAGCGTTGGTGGATGATGCCACCAATTTCACCAATTCCACCCACAGTTGCCCAGCATGAGTTTGTGCTTCCTCTTCCCCAGGGCCCAGCACAGGCACAGCAAGACTGGCCTGGCTCGAAAGGGGATGAGCCGGGCTGTGCCTGCTGTATCTGCACCACTGGGGGGAGAGTTCCCTGGGCCTGCCTATCCCCCACGTAGGGATGCCCAGTGTCAGTGATACAGCATACAGGAAAAGACGATGCCACAGGCCAGATTCCCAGGGTGTGACAGGCTTGAGTCACCCAGCTGTGGCCCCGGGGGTGATGCTGTCCCTTCAAGGATTAGCCTCACTTAGGTAGTGTACAAATTACAGACCCAGCCCCTGCAGCTAGCCCTGCACTGTGGGCCCTTCCAGGATGCTTTGTAAGGGGAGCTGTCCTCATTATCATTACATTACTTGAAAGGGAAAGTCCTTGGTTTAGAATTTCCTATCCACCCCAGCATTTTCAGTACTTTGTGTTTACAGAATTCACTTAAAATGAAGTGAACTTCTTTTAACTACTTGCAGTAAGAATGCATTGCTCTTTTAACAGCAGAGTTTGAGGGTTATGTTTTAGCAACTCAAAGTCGAACATCAGTCTATCCAGGAATAAAAAAAGCCACATCCAGAGTCAGTATCCAAAGGAGAACTACATGCTACAATTCCACGGTCTTGATCAACAACAGTGTTTATGCCCTCGTTGGGTAAACCAAGAATGGAAGGCCCTGTTCCTGTCTGTTGTGTTGGCTGCAGTTCAAAGGCTGGGAAGTCCTGGACACATCTGCTTAGTACGTATCTGTCCTCAGGATGCAGGCGTGGGTGCTTGCAGTGTGGCGTTTTCCACCTTGGCATGCTAGTGGCTTTCTGTGACTTGAGTACTGGTTATTAAGTCTTCATTTTAAATTTGCTTTCTGTTTTCTCTGTGTGATTTTTTTTAATGGCTTGCTGCATTTTTTAGTGTGATTTTTATATCTTAAGTGCAGACTTTTCCTATGAAAATGTCTCAGTTTTGTCTGAAAATAATTTTATGTTGAAAGTCAGGATACTATGACTCAGTGAATAGAAATTCACTTTACAGCCAACTTTTTGAGGCACGTGTCTTTTATAAAGTACATTGTAATAGGGATGAAGACACAGAGCCTCTGGGAAAGAGCAGGCACTCCAGGGAGGCACCTTCACCTAAACTCAGAGCCAATGAGGGAAACAGCAGACAACTGAACACCCTAGTGTCTGACCACCTTAACACTTGTGTGCGCTATGGAGGAAGCCTTTGCAGCAATCAATAGTAAAGACAGTTTTAATAGCACCCCATTGCCAGAGTATTCTCAGGATTAGAATCCTGAAGAAATCTACCAGGCATGGTGCCACACACCCACTAACCAGCTAGTCAGGAGGCTGAGGCAGGAGGATCACAAGTTCAAGGCTCCAATTTTTTAAAATATTTTTAACAGCATAAGGATGTGGCTCAGTGCTCTCTGGGCTCAATCCTAATACTGCAGAGACAGAAGAGGGGGGAGAGGAAAAAGGAAAGAAACCTGCCTGCCAGTCTGCTCTGCAGTGTCCTATTCTGACCCAGTGGGTCTCCAAGCCAGGGTTAGGCATACTTTCCCAGTAAAGGAGCATACAGGAGATAGGAGAGCACAGGGACCACCTTGTCCGCTGGGGAGGACCACCTTGTCCACAGGGGAGGACTGTGCCTTTCTGCCTTTATCTCATGAGAGCAGCCACAGGCAGTATATAAGTAAATCACATCTGAGTGTGTCACATCACTTTTGGACACTGAAATGTGAAAGTCATAAAATTTTCCTATGTCATTAAATACTCTTCTTTGCTGTTCTCCTGTTTAAAAAAGTGCAGATCGTTCTTGGCTTGCTGAGTGTACAGAAATGTGTGCACCAGGTTGGGCCCACAGACTGATTTGCCAATCCCTGTTGTAAGTCAAAGTCTGTACATATTCATGGCAATAAGAAGTGGAACCAAGGGTTATCCTTGTGATTAAAGCACTGGCCACGGCTGTGTGATCGGTGGGATTCTATGACAGCGAGGTCATGTTAAGGCTACCTGAACTGCTGGCAGCCTGGCCATACTCCATCCCAGCCTGGCCACACACCTCACATGGAGTATGTGTGGCGTGTCTTCAGCAACGCTCTGTGTCCCTGGCCTCTGCCTGTGCCCTGAGTCAGAGGTCACTGGGCTGGTCCACAGCCTGCTAATCAGCATCATGGACCCTCTGCCAACTCCACACATCCTAGGTGAGCTCCAGCAAGGCACTGGGTCCTCATCAGTTTCCTCATCAATAAATTGAGAGTGAAATTAGGACCTCCCAAAGGATCACTGAGGAGAGGAGAAGAGTCCACACAGGAAAAGCTCCTGAACTAGTTCCTACCCAGCACGCAATCAGGGGCAGTGTGGGTGCTCTGGAACTTAGCAACAGAGGCATACATGGCACAGCTGAAATCCTGGGCCACCCCAACACCCGTGTCAGGTCTCACCATGTTGTCACTGACCTTGAGTTGTTATTTTTGTTGCTTTTCCAAACACTCCAGCTCACATTACCCATACATGAAAGGCCATACCTCTGCCTTAAAGAGTTCGTGTTTTTTACTGAAAATACTAGATACAATATATAGAAATAACTTTGGTTATTGAACTTACTGATTTGGAAAGCTATTAGTGAAAACATTTGCAATATTCTTCATTTTACTTGATTTTTGAAGACCTAGATTCTAAACTACAAATTTAAAGTAGCACAGTGAGATTGATCAGTGTGTTTAATTCTGTGCCAAGGAGAGACACCAGGCATGGATTTGAGTTTACTGCAGGCTGTTTCCTTTCCTTTGTTCAGGTGGTCAGTGTTTTAGTTACTTTTACTGGTCTCTGAGACAAAATACCTGATCAAAGTTGGGAAAGGAAAGGTTTATTTCTTATAGTTCTTGGAGGTTTCAGTCCATATTCAGTTGGCACCAAGGCTGGATGGCATGCCGGGGCCACAGTTCATGGCAGCTCCAAACAGCCACTCAGAAACCGTCAAGAGAGACAGGCACGCCTTCTTCCTGCCATTACATTGTATGCTGGCTCCACCCCTATGTGGGTGTAGCACTGATACTATCAATCCAAGCTCTCTAGACAATGAACCAATCACAAATGCATAATGCAAAGGCATGAGGCCTGGGGGCCACCAACATAAACCATGACATTCCACCACTGCCTTCAGGACTCATGTATATCCTTTATACAAAAGACATTTAGTCCATCTCCAAGAGTTGCCAAAGTCCTAACAGTGTTAGCATTGCCAAAAATCCAAGTCCCAAGTCTCCTCCAAGATCTATGGCAAACTCCTAACTGTAACCCCCTGTACAAATGAAATAAGTTTAAACATTTCTGAAATGCAC